ACTTTCAGTGGAAAACGGTACTTCGTGACATTCATTGATGACAAGTCAAGATACTGTGTCGTCTATCTGCTCAAGAGCAAATCTGAAGTTGCGGCGAAGTTCATGGAATACGCTGCGATGGCCGAAACGCAAACCGGAAAGCGCGTGAAGTACCTTCAAAGCGACAATGGGGGTGAATACAAGTCCGACAAGCTGGCACGATTCTGCGCGGAACGGGGAATACAACAAAGGTTCACACCCCCATATACTCCTCAGCTAAACGGAGTGGCTGAGAGAATGAATCGCATGCTGGTCGAGTGTGCGCGTTGCATGATGGAACACGCTGGACTGGGAAAGAGCTACTGGGGTGAAGCAGTGATGACGGCGATGTTTCTTCGAAACCGCTGTCCAACACGTGCCATTCACCAAGACAAGTCTCCATATCAAGTGTGGACGATGAAGAAACCGATTCTGGCCAACCTTAAAGTGTTTGGATGCCACGCGTATGTTCAAGTGCCTCAAGACAAACGCGCGAAGTTCGACTCCAAGTCATCACTCTGTCGTTTCCTGGGATACGCCGAACACCAGAAGTCATATCGATTTGAGGAAGTGTCAACAGGATGTTGACGGTCATCGGTTTCTACCAGTATTGGTAACCGTGACCGGTCCAATCCGAACCGCCTGTTCAGCTTAGTATTTACGACGTAGTTCTTACGGTAATTACCATAGTTGATTAGACGCGTAGGATGATGAGACGCTTCACATGATTTATATGTGGTGCACATATAAATCATGTAGTAAGTAGTAAGCCCCGATAATCAATCACTTTCCAATCTTCCATCTACCCCAAGTGTCTTCTCCGGTCTTCCAAGTGGACTCTCAGCATCCCTCCCAGTTTCGGTCGTCAAGCTCTTCATCATTCAACAGGTTATGAGCCCAAGCACGATGTCCTCTGCCCATGATGCCACCACCAAGATCTCCATCGACAAGTTCGACGGCGACAACTACGCGACGTGGAGCCGCTACATGCGTGGCGTGTTCCTGACCAAGTCGGCGTGGCACGTGGTGAACCGGGAGACCACCCCCACCTTCGCCGATCCTCGCGCCAGTGACGACTACGTCAAGACGAACAACATTGCGTTCGGCTTGATGCTGCTGCACATGAGCGCAGATTATCATCACGTGGTTGATGACTGTGAAGAGGCGTGGGTCGCGTGGGCGCGTTTGAAGACGCTGTACGGCGGGTCGCAGAAGGCTGGACGCATCTACTTGAAGCGCCAGCTGTTCAGCATGGAGATGGCGGAAGGCGGCAATGTGATGCATCATTGCAACGAAGTCCTCAACATCAGCGCGAAGCTCAGCAGCATCGGCGCCGAGATGGAGGACGAGGACGTTGCGATCTGCTTGTTGCGCAGCCTCCCCAAGAGCTACGAGAACGTCGTTCTCAACTTGGAGATGAGCAGCGCGGAACTGCGATCGCGAGACGTCGTGAGAGTGCTCACGAATGAGCACATCAAGAGGCAAGGTGACAAGACGACATCGGTGAAGACTGAAGACGCGGCGAAGGCGTTCAGTACCGAGCGTGAACCTCGCCAGTGTACATACTGCGGAAAATTGGGGCACACGACGGAGCGGTGCTGGACCAAGCAGAAGGACGAGAATCAAGGTGGAGCTCGACGCGGCGGCAACAATGCTCGTGGACGCGGAGCCAACAACGTTCAGTGGCGAACCAACAGCAACTACGACGACAACTGCGATCGAGTTGCGTTCGCGGTTTCGCTGGAGGCCGGACTTTCGACGGGCAAGAATATGCCAGGGATGTGGGCAGTCGACAGCGGTGCGACGCATCACATCTGCAACGACAAGGCCAAGTTTGCAAGCCTGAATGAGCGAGAGGAAGGCGAACTATCAGTGGCTGATGGCAGCAAGGCTGCGATCAAGGGTGTGGGAACCATCATGGAACGGGTGGTTCTGCCCAATGGTGACGAACGCGACATCGAGATCAAGGACGCGCTGTTCGTACCAAGCATGAGCAAGAATCTACTCTCGGTGCCTCAGATCAACAAGGGTGGGAGGTTCCAAGTCGTGTTCGATGGATCCAAGATGCAAGTGAAGCGCAAGAATTCCACACAAGTCGTGGCAACTGCGGATCTTGTCGATGGACTTTACTGGCTGCGGACTCCTCAACGATCGGCAAATGCAGCAACACGCAATGGGACCATCGACTTGCATGCGCGCATGGGTCATGCACCTCTCGAAGTTCTGCGCAAGATGGTGGCCACTGGCATGATCAAGGACGCCAAGGCACCTCTCAACTCGACTGGTCCAAGTGTGTGTCGCGGTTGCCAGCAAGGAAAGATGGTCCAAAAACCATTCCCAACCAACCGTGACAAACGCCAATATGGTATGTTCGAGTTGCTGCACTTCGACATCTGCGGGCCAATGGAACAAGTCTCGATCGGTGGCAGCAGATACTTACTGCTTGTGGTTGACGAAGCCAGCGGTTGCATGAAGGGCTTCTGTCTGCGGTCCAAGTCTGAGAGTGAAGACTGTATCAAGAACCACATCATCAAGATTCAAACACAGTTCGGCACGAAGATCAAGTTTGTTCGGCACGATGGAGCGCATGAATTTGCGACCAACTCGATCAAGACCTTCTACGAAGATCATGGTATCGAACAACAGATCACGGTGCCGTATGCACACCAGACCAACGGCACCGCAGAACGCGCGATAAGGACCATCGTCACGATCGGACGCAGCTTGTTGCATCATGCAAAGCTGGAGAAGTGTTTCTGGGCTGAAGCGGCAATGACGGCGATCTACATCAAGAACCGCCTGCCTTCACCCAAGATCGACCACAAGACTCCGTTCAAGATCGTGTACAAGTCGAAACCAAGTGTCAAGCACATGCGCGTGTTTGGATGTCGGGCGTTTATCCTGACACCAAGGGAGAAGCGATTGAAGTGGGACCCGAAGGCTCGTGAAGGGATGTTCATGGGCTACGAAGAAGTGTCAAAAGCTTATCGAGTGTACGACATTGAGGCGGACCAAGTGGTGATCAGTCGTGACATCACCTTCGACGAATCGACTTTTGACTTTTCGATGGACCGACCAAGTGACGATGATGAAGATGCGGAGTTGGATCTCGACCTCCTGGCGATCAACGAGGACGACGTGCGTCAAACTGTCTACAAGCAGACTGGCAAGCGCAAGAGTGAAGCAAGACCCGGCATGTCACGTTCAGCTCGCCCTCGAACTGGATTGGAACAAGCAAGTGCGCCGGCACACGTCTCCAACCGTCACCAGAAACGACGATCAAGTGCTCCAGAAACGATGTCTGATGACGAAGAAGATGCAAGCGTCTACGATCAAGATGACGACTTGACGCCTCCAACATTTTGGCGTGCAAGTGCAAACGCAGTGGAAGCAACGGACCTAGCAGAACCTGTGACTTTTCAAGACGCGATCAATGGTCCTGATCAAGCTCACTGGCGAAATGCTGTGAAGGCGGAACTCAAGTCGATGCATCTTCGTGGAGTTTTCCGTGCGGCAAAACTACCAAGAGGCCAAGGCGCGATCGGCACCAAGTGGGTGTTCAAGATCAAGCGCAAAGCGGATGGATCGGTCGAGAAATACAAGGCGCGTCTCGTTGCCAAGGGCTTCAAGCAGAAGTACGGCATCGACTACACAGAGACGTTCTCGCCCGTGGTCAAGTACGTGACACTGCGTATGGTGATCGCGATCACCAAGTATTTCGACTGGCCACTGGACCAACTCGATGTGGTGACAGCCTTTCTCTACGGAGTGATGAAGGAGAAGGTGTACTGCGTGGTACCAGAAGGCGTCGAGATGGATGGCGACTTCGACTGTCTCGAGTTGGTGAAGGCGATCTACGGTCTCAAGCAAGCTTCACGTGTGTGGAACGAGACTTTCGATGAGTTCGTATGCTCTATCGGTTTCGAAGCGTCGGCGTTCGACCCATGTCTCTACATCAAGGTTGTCGATGGTCACTGTGTGCTCGTGCTGGTCTACGTGGATGACGTGTTGGTCACCGGCAGCTCGCTCGAGTTGATTGCGCAGACGAAGGCCGACCTCAAGACGCGTTTCGAGATGACCGACAGTGGCAAGTGTACTTTTGTACTGGGCATCGAACTGGTGGACGAATCGGATGGCAGCGTGACGATGTGCCAGCGACGGTATGTCAACGACATCCTCAAGCGCTTCGGCATGGATGAGTGCAAGGCCACATCAAGTCCGGTCGACTTGAGCACTCGGCTTGTCGCAAGCACCGAAGCGGCCAAGATCGACGTTCCGTTTCGTGAAGCTGTGGGAGCTTTGATGCACTTGACGACTGCGACGCGCCCGGACATTGCGTATGCTGTGGGGTACGTCTCGCGCTTCATGGAGAATCCGCAGCAAGAACATTGGACGGCGGTGAAGCGCATCTTTCGTTACTTGCAAGGGACCAAGTCGCACGGACTCCGATTCCAGCCAAGCGATAAGATCGACTTTCGTGGCTACTCGGACGCGGACTGGGCCGGCGACCACGCTGATCGCAAGTCGACTTCGGGTTACACTTTCATGCTGATGGGTGCTCCTGTGAGTTGGGGAAGCAAGAAGCAGTCAAGTGTGTCGCTGTCGACGAGTGTGTTGAAAAGACAGCGGCTGTGAAGAAGACACCTCGTCAAGCTGCGTCAAGTGTTGAAGCAAGTGGAAGACCAAGCTTCGCTATACCGGTGGGTACCGGTATGTACCAGTAAGGGCGAAGTCAGGAAATGACGTCACTGGATGACGTCATTGCATGACGTCAGTGGGTGACGTCAGTGGGTGACGTCACTGGATGACGTCACTGCGAATAATAGGCTTAGAGGTAGTATTCAAAGTTGCGAACTAAGTACCTATTATAAATATATATTCACTTTGCGTTTTGCACTCGGACCAAGAAGTCTAAAGTTCATCAGGTTATGAGCCCAAGTTCGTCAGACTCTGAAACCGCCAACAATTCAAGCTTAGCTGCCATGGACGCCTCCTCCCTCCGCATCTCCAAGTTCGATGGAACTAACTTCCACGCCTGGAAGTTCAAGATGCAGATGGTGCTGGAGGAACGGGACCTATGGGAGGTCGTCAGCGGTGAGATCAAGGCGGAACAGTGCGAGACTCAGTTGGACCAAGCGACGTACAAGAGGAAGTCAAGAAAGGCGATGGCAGTGATCTGTCTAGCCATGGAAGATTCCCAGCTACCGTTGGTCCGGTCGGCAAGTGGTGCATGCGACGCATGGTCAAGGTTGGAAGACCACTTCGAGAAGAAGAGTCTTGCCAACAAGCTGTTCTTGCGCCGTCGCTTCTTCACGACAATGATGGAAGAAGGCGACGATGTACTCGAACACATCAACAAGCTCAAGACGCTGGCGGAACAGCTAGAAGCGGTGGGGGGCTCCAGTCTGCGAGGACGATCTGGTGATCACACTTCTCGGCAGCCTGAGTGACTCGTATCAATTCTTGATCACAGCTTTGGAGTCGCGCTCAGACACTCTTAGCTGGGAGCTCGTGACGTCTCGACTGCTTCATGAAGAAATGAAGCGGAGGGAGCAAGGAAGTAAAGGTGATGAAGCTTCGCAAGGTCAAGCGTTCATCACAAGGGACAATCAGCGCAAAGGGCGACCAGTGAAGAAGTCCTGGCCGTGCCACAATTGCGGAAAGATTGGTCACTGGATGGCGGAGTGCCCCTCGCGCATCCAAGAAAACACGGAGAGACACCGGCCACAGCGTGCTCAAGACAGCGGCGACCGCTATCGATCACAACGTGCAAACGTCGCTCAAGAAGAAGACTCGGGCGACTACCTCTTTTCGATCGGTGAAACGACATCTGCGAAATCGAGCGACATCTGGCTGGTCGACTCCGGGGCGACGCAGCACATGACGTGCTCCAAGAAGTTCATGCGGAACTACAAGGGGTTTGACGCTGTGGATGTCCATCTCGCGGATGATGGAATCGTCCAAGCAATCGGCAGTGGGGACATTGTCATGTCGATGAAGACACCCCAAGGGATGAAGAAAGGTGTGCTCACAAACGTGTGGCACATCCCAAAGTTATCCAGAAACCTGTTCTCGGTCGGCCGCTTCACCAAGGATGTCGGCCCAGTGACGTTCACGAAGGATGGGTGCTATGGAGAAGCGAAAGGGACCAAGTGGAAAATTGGTGCCCGTGAAGGTAAAGGACTGTTCAAGCTGCAAATGACTCCAGTGGCGCCGGAACAAGCAAATGCAGCCAAGTCGTCGGGATGTCAAGGGGGCACCAAGTCGTACCTCTGGCACCTTCGGCTTGGCCACATAGGTCACGATGGACTCAATTGCATCGTGACGAAGAACATTGGAATTGGCATCGACATATCTTCGGTGAAGAAGTGGGACGTGTGTGAAGGTTGTGCTCTGGGAAAACAGACTCGAGTGCGCTTCCAATCAAACACTACAGCTCGCACCTCCAAACTCCTCGAAGTGATTCACAGCGACGTATGCGGACCGATGTCGATGGCAACTTTCAGTGGAAAACGGTACTTCGTGACATTCATTGATGACAAGTCAAGATACTGTGTCGTCTATCTGCTCAAGAGCAAATCTGAAGTTGCGGCGAAGTTCATGGAATACGCTGCGATGGCCGAAACGCAAACCGGAAAGCGCGTGAAGTACCTTCAAAGCGACAATGGGGGTGAATACAAGTCCGACAAGCTGGCACGATTCTGCGCGGAACAGGGGAATACAACAAAGGTTCACAACCCCATATACTCCTCAGCTAAACGGAGTAGCTGAGAGAATGAATCGCACGCTGGTCGAGTGTGCGCGTTGCATGATGGAACACGCTGGACTGGGAAAGAGCTACTGGGGTGAAGCAGTGATGACGGCGATGTTTCTTCGAAACCGCTGTCCAACACGTGCCATTCACCAAGACAAGTCTCCATATCAAGTGTGGACGATGAAGAAACCGATTCTGGCCAACCTTAAAGTGTTTGGATGCCACGCGTATGTTCAAGTGCCTCAAGACAAACGCGCGAAGTTCGACTCCAAGTCATCACTCTGTCGTTTCCTGGGATACGCCGAACACCAGAAGTCATATCGATTTGAGGAAGTGTCAACAGGAGCGATCAAGATCAGTCGCGATGCCACATTCATGGAAGACAAGTTTGATGAAGGTCCGCGCAACTACAACGATGAGTCAAGTGTCGTTGAGTTTGATGATCATGATGAGGACGAAGAAAAAGAAGAAGGTAAAACTGACGACGACATGGACTCGAGCGACGATGACAACGAAGACACCAGGTCTTCGAAGAGCAACATCAAGAGACACACGCGCACTCAATCACTTGAGAAAGCTACCGTCATTCCAAGTCCCAAGCGAAGAACATACAGAGGTCCGTCGCTTGAGCATGTGTCAGCGGCTGCAATGGATTTTGAAGCAGCCTACATCGTTGATTCAGTGGGGGAAACGCCGACTACATTCAAGTCGGCGATGGAATCAAGCGACTCCGGCAAGTGGAAAGAAGCGTGTGACTCGGAGTTCGATTCGCTTCAGAGAAACGACACGTGGGAAATCGTGCCTCTTCCGAAAGGTCGCAAGGCCATCGGGTGCCGATGGGTTTTTCGTGTAAAGGAGAATCAAGATGGCGAAGTTGAGCGTTTCAAGGCAAGACTTGTGGCCAAAGGATTCTCACAGAAATTCGGAGTTGACTATGAAGAAACTTTCGCACCGGTGGCCAAGTTCACATCGATTCGTGTGGTGCTCAGTATGGCGGCTAAGTACGGCCTAATGCTACATCAGATGGACGTCAAGACAGCGTTTCTTAACGGCTCCCTCAACGAAGAACATCTACATGGACCAGCCGGACGGATACCTGGATGCAACACAGCCGGACTATGTGTGCAAGCTAAAGAGATCACTCTACGGCTTGAAGCAATCGCCTCGCATGTGGAACCAAACAATCGATGGGTTCATGATCAAGATGGGATTCAAGAAGTGCGAATCGGACCACTGCATCTACATCAAGCGAGACGACCAAGACATGATTCTCGTGGTGCTCTACGTCGATGATCTCATCCTGGCCAGCAGCAACAACGAACTCCTCAAGTCAACCAAGATGGCGCTGAGCAAACGCTTCGAAATGACGGATCTCGGTGAGCTCGATTACTTTCTCGGCATGGAGATCAAGAACGACCGTAAGACGGGAATGGTGACTGTACAACAAACCAAGTTTCTCAAGTCCGTGTTAACCAAGTTCGGAATGGATAACAGCAAGCCAGTGAAGACGCCTCAAGATCCCGGCCTGAAGCTAACCAAGAACATGTGTGAACAAGAATGCAAGCACGAAGACACCATGTGCAACGTGCCATATCGAAGTGCTGTCGGAGGCATCATGTATCTCATGGTCGCCACACGTCCGGATCTAGCTGCTGCAGTGGGATCATTATCCCAGTTCTCGTCCGACCCATGCCCGACTCACTGGCAAGCTTTGAAGCGTGTGCTGAGATACCTGCAAGCAACGCCCAATCATGGTCTTGAGTTTACACGTGAAGAAGGAAGCCGTATCTGCGGGTACACCGACGCAGACTGGGCCGGCGACATTGAGTCAAGACGAAGTACAAGCGGCTATGTGTTCATGATGAGCGGAGGATGCATCAGCTGGAAAAGCCAGAAACAACGGACGGTCGCGCTATCTTCAACAGAAGCAGAATACATGGCGCTTTCCGAAGCAACCAAAGAAGCAGTATGGCTCAAAGTGCTTTTGGGGGAACTTGGTGAGATGACAAGCGACGAAGCGATCAAGATGTATGAAGACAACCAAGGATCAATCGCTCTCGCCAAGAACCCGGAGTTCCATAAGAGAACAAAACACATCGACATACGCTACCATTTTGTGCGTGAGAAGGTGGAATCAGGTGAAGTCGTTTTGGAGTATTGCCCGACTCAAGATATGCTGGCAGACATGATGACCAAGCCGATCGCCGCTGTACAATTTGAAAACATTCGCGATCGACTTGGGATCCAAGGTGCCGCAGCTAACGAGTCGAGAGGGAGTGTTGAAAAGACAGCGGCTGTGAAGAAGACACCTCGTCAAGCTGCGTCAAGTGTTGAAGCAAGTGGAAGACCAAGCTTCGCTATACCGGTGGGTACCGGTATGTACCAGTAAGGGCGAAGTCAGGAAATGACGTCACTGGATGACGTCATTGCATGACGTCAGTGGGTGACGTCAGTGGGTGACGTCACTGGATGACGTCACTGCGAATAATAGGCTTAGAGGTAGTATTCAAAGTTGCGAACTAAGTACCTATTATAAATATATATTCACTTTGCGTTTTGCACTCGGACCAAGAAGTCTAAAGTTCATCAGAGTGAAGCGGAATACATCGCACTGAGTCTGGCCATCCAGGAAGGCAAGTGGGTGCATCGCCTGCTATGCGAGATTTTGGCGGCCGCAAACGAACCAGGACCGGACCTCGTCATCCGTGAAGACAACCAGTCGTGCATCAAGATGACGAAGAATCCGGTGAATCATGGCCGCGCCAAGCACATCGACATCAAGTACCATCACATCCGTGATGAGGTCAAGCGCGGTGAAGTGCAGCTCGAGTATTGCGAGACTTCCGTGATGATGGCGGACATCATGACCAAGGGACTTTCGGGACCTCGTCACAAGGACTTGACGACGGCTCTCGGCATTCGTGCGAGTTCGGATTGAGGGGGCGTGTTGACGGTCATCGGTTTCTACCAGTATTGGTAACCGTGACCGGTCCAATCCGAACCGCCTGTTCAGCTTAGTATTTACGACGTAGTTCTTACGGTAATTACCATAGTTGATTAGACGCGTAGGATGATGAGACGCTTCACATGATTTATATGTGGTGCACATATAAATCATGTAGTAAGTAGTAAGCCCCGATAATCAATCACTTTCCAATCTTCCATCTACCCCAAGTGTCTTCTCCGGTCTTCCAAGTGGACTCTCAGCATCCCTCCCAGTTTCGGTCGTCAAGCTCTTCATCATTCAACACAGGAGCGATCAAGATCAGTCGCGATGCCACATTCATGGAAGACAAGTTTGATGAAGGTCCGCGCAACTACAACGATGAGTCAAGTGTCGTTGAGTTTGATGATCATGATGAGGACGAAGAAAAAGAAGAAGGTAAAACTGACGACGACATGGACTCGAGCGACGATGACAACGAAGACACCAGGTCTTCGAAGAGCAACATCAAGAGACACACGCGCACTCAATCACTTGAGAAAGCTACCGTCATTCCAAGTCCCAAGCGAAGAACATACAGAGGTCCGTCGCTTGAGCATGTGTCAGCGGCTGCAATGGATTTTGAAGCAGCCTACATCGTTGATTCAGTGGGGGAAACGCCGACTACATTCAAGTCGGCGATGGAATCAAGCGACTCCGGCAAGTGGAAAGAAGCGTGTGACTCGGAGTTCGATTCGCTTCAGAGAAACGACACGTGGGAAATCGTGCCTCTTCCGAAAGGTCGCAAGGCCATCGGGTGCCGATGGGTTTTTCGTGTAAAGGAGAATCAAGATGGCGAAGTTGAACGTTTCAAGGCAAGACTTGTGGCCAAAGGATTCTCACAGGAATTCGGAGTTGACTATTGTTGAATGATGAAGAGCTTGACGACCGAAACTGGGAGGGATGCTGAGAGTCCACTTGGAAGACCGGAGAAGACACTTGGGGTAGATGGAAGATTGGAAAGTGATTGATTATCGGGGCTTACTACTTACTACATGATTTATATGTGGTGCACATATAAATCATGTGAAGCGTCTCATCATCCTACGCGTCTAATCAACTATGGTAATTACCGTAAGAACTACGTCGTAAATACTAAGCTGAACAGGCGGTTCGGATTGGACCGGTCACGGTTACCAATACTGGTAGAAACCGATGACCGTCAACACGCCCCCTCAATCCGAACTCGCACGAATGCCGAGAGCCGTCGTCAAGTCCTTGTGACGAGGTCCCGAAAGTCCCTTGGTCATGATGTCCGCCATCATCACGGAAGTCTCGCAATACTCGAGCTGCACTTCACCGCGCTTGACCTCATCACGGATGTGATGGTACTTGATGTCGATGTGCTTGGCGCGGCCATGATTCACCGGATTCTTCGTCATCTTGATGCACGACTGGTTGTCTTCACGGATGACGAGGTCCGGTCCTGGTTCGTTTGCGGCCGCCAAAATCTCGCATAGCAGGCGATGCACCCACTTGCCTTCCTGGATGGCCAGACTCAGTGCGATGTATTCCGCTTCACTCGTCGACAGCGACACACTTGACTGCTTCTTGCTTCCCCAACTCACAGGAGCACCCATCAGCATGAAAGTGTAACCCGAAGTCGACTTGCGATCAGCGTGGTCGCCGGCCCAGTCCGCGTCCGAGTAGCCACGAAAGTCGATCTTATCGCTTGGCTGGAATCGGAGTCCGTGCGACTTGGTCCCTTGCAAGTAACGAAAGATGCGCTTCACCGCCGTCCAATGTTCTTGCTGCGGATTCTCCATGAAGCGCGAGACGTACCCCACAGCATACGCAATGTCCGGGCGCGTCGCAGTCGTCAAGTGCATCAAAGCTCCCACAGCTTCACGAAACGGAACGTCGATCTTGGCCGCTTCGGTGCTTGCGACAAGCCGAGTGCTCAAGTCGACCGGACTTGATGTGGCCTTGCACTCATCCATGCCGAAGCGCTTGAGGATGTCGTTGACATACCGTCGCTGGCACATCGTCACGCTGCCATCCGATTCGTCCACCAGTTCGATGCCCAGTACAAAAGTACACTTGCCACTGTCGGTCATCTCGAAACGCGTCTTGAGGTCGGCCTTCGTCTGCGCAATCAACTCGAGCGAGCTGCCGGTGACCAACACGTCATCCACGTAGACCAGCACGAGCACACAGTGACCATCGACAACCTTGATGTAGAGACATGGGTCGAACGCCGACGCTTCGAAACCGATAGAGCATACGAACTCATCGAAAGTCTCGTTCCACACACGTGAAGCTTGCTTGAGACCGTAGATCGCCTTCACCAACTCGAGACAGTCGAAGTCGCCATCCATCTCGACGCCTTCTGGTACCACGCAGTACACCTTCTCCTTCATCACTCCGTAGAGAAAGGCTGTCACCACATCGAGTTGGTCCAGTGGCCAGTCGAAATACTTGGTGATCGCGATCACCATACGCAGTGTCACGTACTTGACCACGGGCGAGAACGTCTCTGTGTAGTCGATGCCGTACTTCTGCTTGAAGCCCTTGGCAACGAGACGCGCCTTGTATTTCTCGACCGATCCATCCGCTTTGCGCTTGATCTTGAACACCCACTTGGTGCCGATCGCGCCTTGGCCTCTTGGTAGTTTTGCCGCACGGAAAACTCCACGAAGATGCATCGACTTGAGTTCCGCCTTCACAGCATTTCGCCAGTGAGCTTGATCAGGACCATTGATCGCGTCTTGAAAAGTCACAGGTTCTGCTAGGTCCGTTGCTTCCACTGCGTTTGCACTTGCACGCCAAAATGTTGGAGGCGTCAAGTCGTCATCTTGATCGTAGACGCTTGCATCTTCTTCGTCATCAGACATCGTTTCTGGAGCACTTGATCGTCGTTTCTGGTGACGGTTGGAGACGTGTGCCGGCGCACTTGCTTGTTCCAATCCAGTTCGAGGGCGAGCTGAACGTGACATGCCGGGTCTTGCTTCACTCTTGCGCTTGCCAGTCTGCTTGTAGACAGTTTGACGCACGTCGTCCTCGTTGATCGCCAGGAGGTCGAGATCCAACTCCGCATCTTCATCATCGTCACTTGGTCGGTCCATCGAAAAGTCAAAAGTCGATTCGTCGAAGGTGATGTCACGACTGATCACCACTTGGTCCGCCTCAATGTCGTACACTCGATAAGCTTTTGACACTTCTTCGTAGCCCATGAACATCCCTTCACGAGCCTTCGGGTCCCACTTCAATCGCTTCTCCCTTGGTGTCAGGATAAACGCCCGACATCCAAACACGCGCATGTGCTTGACACTTGGTTTCGACTTGTACACGATCTCGAACGGAGTCTTGTGGTCGATCTTGGGTGAAGGCAGGCGGTTCTTGATGTAGATCGCCGTCATTGCCGCTTCAGCCCAGAAACACTTCTCCAGCTTTGCATGATGCAACAAGCTGCGTCCGATCGTGACGATGGTCCTTATCGCGCGTTCTGCGGTGCCGTTGGTCTGGTGTGCATACGGCACCGTGATCTGTTGTTCGATACCATGATCTTCGTAGAAGGTCTTGATCGAGTTGGTCGCAAATTCATGCGCTCCATCGTGCCGAACAAACTTGGTCTTCGTGCCGAACTGTGTTTGAATCTTGATGATGTGGTTCTTGATACAGTCTTCACTCTCAGACTTGGACCGCAGACAGAAGCCCTTCATGCAACCGCTGGCTTCGTCAACCACAAGCAGTAAGTATCTGCTGCCACCGATCGAGACTTGTTCCATTGGCCCGCAGATGTCGAAGTGCAGCAACTCGAACATACCATATTGGCGTTTGTCACGGTTGGTTGGGAATGGTTTTTGGACCATCTTTCCTTGCTGGCAACCGCGACACACACTTGGACCAGTCGAGTTGAGAGGTGCCTTGGCGTCCTTGATCATGCCAGTGGCCACCATCTTGCGCAGAACTTCGAGAGGTGCATGACCCATGCGCGCATGCAAGTCGATGGTCCCATTGCGTGTTGCTGCATTTGCCGATCGTTGAGGAGTCCGCAGCCAGTAAAGTCCATCGACGAGATCCGCTGTTGCCACGACTTGTGTGGAATTCTTGCGCTTCACTTGCATCTTGGATCCATCGAACACGACTTGGAACCTCCCACCCTTGTTGATCTGTGGCACCGAAAGCAGATTCTTGCTCATGCTTGGTACGAACAGCGCGTCCTTGATCTCGATGTCGCGTTCGTCACCATTGGGCAGAACCACCCGTTCCATGATGGTTCCCACACCCTTGATCGCAGCCTTGCTGCCATCAGCCACTGATAGTTCGCCTTCCTCTCGCTCATTCAGGCTTGCAAACTTGGCCTTGTCGTTGCAGATGTGATGCGTCGCACCGCTGTCGACTGCCCACATCCCTGGCATATTCTTGCCCGTCGAAAGTCCGGCCTCCAGCGAAACCGCGAACGCAACTCGATCGCAGTTGTCGTCGTAGTTGCTGTTGGTTCGCCACTGAACGTTGTTGGCTCCGCGTCCACGAGCATTGTTGCCGCCGCGTCGAGCTCCACCTTGATTCTCGTCCTTCTGCTTGGTCCAGCACCGCTCCGCCGTGTGCCCCAATTTTCCGCAGTATGTACACTGGCGAGGTTCACGCTCGGTACTGAACGCCTTCGCCGCGTCTTCAGTCTTCACCGATGTCGTCTTGTCACCTTGCCTCTTGATGTGCTCATTCGTGAGCACTCTCACGACGTCTCGCGATCGCAGTTCCGCGCTGCTCATCTCCAAGTTGAGAACGACGTTCTCGTAGCTCTTGGGGAGGCTGCGCAACAAGCAGATCGCCACGTCCTCGTCCTCCATCTTGGCGCCGATGCTGCTGAGCTTCGCGCTGATGTTGAGGACTTCGTTGCAATGATGCATCACATTGCCGCCTTCCGCCATCTCCATGCTGAACAGCTGGCGCTTCAAGTAGATGCGTCCAGCCTTCTGCGACCCGCCGTACAGCGTCTTCAAACGCGCCCACGCGACCCACGCCTCTTCACAGTCATCAACCACGTGATGATAATCTGCGCTCATGTGCAGCAGCATCAAGCCGAACGCAATGTTGTTCGTCTTGACGTAGTCGTCACTGGCGCGAGGATCGGCGAAGGTGGGGGTGGTCTCCCGGTTCACCACGTGCCACGCCGACTTGGTCAGGAACACGCCACGCATGTAGCGGCTCCACGTCGCGTAGTTGTCGCCGTCGAACTTGTCGATGGAGATCTTGGTGGTGGCATCATGGGCAGAGGACATCGTGCTTGGGCTCATAACCTGTTGAATGATGAAGAGCTTGACGACCGAAACTGGGAGGGATGCTGAGAGTCCACTTGGAAGACCGGAGAAGACACTTGGGGTAGATGGAAGATTGGAAAGTGATTGATTATCGGGGCTTACTACTTACTACATGATTTATATGTGGTGCACATATAAATCATGTGAAAGCGTCTCATCATCCTACGCGTCTAATCAACTATGGTAATTACCGTAAGAACTACGTCGTAAATACTAAGCTGAACAGGCGGTTCGGATTGGACCGGTCACGGTTACCAATACTGGTAGAAACCGATGACCGTCAACACCACTATGAAACTTTCGCACCGGTGGCCAAGTTCACATCGATTGTGTGGTGCTCAGTATCGGCCAAGTCGGCCTAATCTACATCAGATGGACGTCAAGACAGCGTTTCTGAACGGCTCCCTCAACGAAGACATCTACATGGACCAGCCGGACGGATACCTGGATGCAACACAGCCGGACTATGTGTGCAAGCTAAAGAGATCACTCTACGGCTTGAAGCAATCGCCTCGCATGTGGAACCAAACAATCGATGGGTTCATGATCAAGATGGGATTCAAGAAGTGCGAATCGGACCACTGCATCTACATCAAGCGAGACGACCAAGACATGATTCTCGTGGTGCTCTACGTCGATGATCTCATCCTGGCCAGCAGCAACAACGAACTCCTCAAGTCAACCAAGATGGCGCTGAGCAAACGCTTCGAAATGACGGATCTCGGTGAGCTCGATTACTTTCTCGGCATGGAGATCAAGAACGACCGTAAGACGGGAATGGTGACTGTACAACAAACCAAGTTTCTCAAGTCCGTGTTAACCAAGTTCGGAATGGATAACAGCAAGCCAGTGAAGACGCCTCAAGATCCCGGCCTGAAGCTAACCAAGAACATGTGTGAACAAGAATGCAAGCACGAAGACACCATGTGCAACGTGCCATATCGAAGTGCTGTCGGAGGCATCATGTATCTCATGGTCGCCACACGTCCGGATCTAGCTGCTGCAGTGGGATCATTATCCCAGTTCTCGTCCGACCCATGCCCGACTCACTGGCAAGCTTTGAAGCGTGTGCTGAGATACCTGCAAGCAACGCCCAATCATGGTCTTGAGTTTACACGTGAAGAAGGAAGCCGTATCTGCGGGTACACCGACGCAGACTGGGCCGGCGACATTGAGTCAAGACGAAGTACAAGCGGCTATGTGTTCATGATGAGCGGAGGATGCATCAGCTGGAAAAGCCAGAAACAACGGACGGTCGCGCTATCTTCAACAGAAGCAGAATACATGGCGCTTTCCGAAGCAACCAAAGAAGCAGTATGGCTCAAAGTGCTTTTGGGGGAACTTGGTGAGATGACAAGCGACGAAGCGATCAAGATGTATGAAGACAACCAAGGATCAATCGCTCTCGCCAAGAACCCGGAGTTCCATAAGAGAACAAAACACATCGACATACGCTACCATTTTGTGCGTGAGAAGGTGGAATCAGGTGAAGTCGTTTTGGAGTATTGCCCGACTCAAGATATGCTGGCAGACATGATGACCAAGCCGATCGCCGCTGTACAATTTGAAAACATTCGCGATCGACTTGGGATCCAAGGTGCCGCAGCTAACGAGTCGAGAGGGAGTGTTGAAAAGACAGCGGCTGTGAAGAAGACACCTCGTCAAGCTGCGTCAAGTGTTGAAGCAAGTGGAAGACCAAGCTTCGCTATACCGGTGGGTACCGGTATGTACCAGTAAGGGCGAAGTCAGGAAATGACGTCACTGGATGACGTCATTGCATGACGTCAGTGGGTGACGTCAGTGGGTGACGTCACTGGATGACGTCACTGCGAATAATAGGCTTAGAGGTAGTATTCAAAGTTGCGAACTAAGTACCTATTATAAATATATATTCACTTTGCGTTTTGCACTCGGACCAAGAAGTCTAAAGTTCATCAGGTTATGAGCCCAAGTTCGTCAGACTCTGAAACCGCCAACAATTCAAGCTTAGCTGCCATGGACGCCTCCTCCCTCCGCATCTCCAAGTTCGATGGAACTAACTTCCACGCCTGGAAGTTCAAGATGCAGATGGTGCTGGAGGAACGGGACCTATGGGAGGTCGTCAGCGGTGAGATCAAGGCGGAACAGTGCGAGACTCAGTTGGACCAAGCGACGTACAAGAGGAAGTCAAGAAAGGCGATGGCAGTGATCTGTCTAGCCATGGAAGATTCCTGATGAACTTTAGACTTCTTGGTCCGAGTGCAAAACGCAAAGTGAATATATATTTATAATAGGTACTTAGTTCGCAACTTTGAATACTACCTCTAAGCCTATTATTCGCAGTGACGTCATCCAGTGACGTCACCCACTGACGTCACCCACTGACGTCATGCAATGACGTCATCCAGTGACGTCATTTCCTGACTTCGCCCTTACTGGTACATACCGGTACCCACCGGTATAGCGAAGCTTGGTCTTCCACTTGCTTCAACACTTGACGCAGCTTGACGAGGTGTCTTCTTCACAGCCGCTGTCTTTTCAACATGTCGCATTGGCCGATCGCTGCGTCGTGCGAAGCCAGTAGAGTCCGTCTACAAGATCCGCAGCTGCCACCACTTGATTGGAATCCTTGCGAGCGACGTACATCGTATCCCCGTCAAACACCACTTGGAAGTTGCCGTGCTTGTTAATCTGCGGCACCGAGAGCAGATTTTTGCTCATGCTGGGCACATAGAGCGCGTTCTTGATCTCGATCTCGCGCTCTTCCCCGTTTGGCAGAATCACCTTTTCCACGATGGTCCCCACACCTTTGATGGTCGCCTTGTTGCCATCAGCCACCAGGATATCGCCATCATTGCCTTCGACCAAGCTTGCAAACTTGAACTTGTCGTGGCAGATGTGATGTGTTGCCCCGCTGTCAACGGCCCACATTCCTGGTCCATTCTTGTTCGTCGAAACTCCGCATTCGAACGAAACTGCAAACGCCACTCGATCGTAGCTGTTGCCTTCATCATAATGTCGCCAGTGGACATTGTTTGACCCGCGTCGACGACCATTGCCGCCGCGTTGGGCTCCTCGACTTTCATCCTTTTGCTTCGTCCAGCAACGCTCTGCCGTGTGCCCCACCTTGCCGCAGTATGTGCATTGGTAGGGCTTGCGCTCGGTACTGAATGCCTTTGTCGCATCTTCAGTCTTCACCGTTGTCGTTGCCGTTGTCATCTTCTCGCCTTGTCGCTTGATGTGCTCGTTAGTCAGCACCTTGACCACATCTTGCGTGCGCAGCTCTGCATTGCTCATCTCCAAGTTGAGAACCACGTTCTCGAAACTATTGGGCAGACTGCGCAGTAAGCAGATCGCAATGTCTTCGTCTTACATCTTGGCACCGATGCTGCTGAGCTTGGCGCCGATGTTCAAGACTTCGTTGCAATGGTGCAAGACGTTGGCACCTTCCGCCATCTTGATGCTGAACAGCTGGCGCTTGAGGTAGATGCGTCCCGCCTTCTGCGACCCACCATAGAGCATCTTCAACCGCGACCACGCTGTCCATGCTTCTTCACAGTTGTCGACCACATGGTGGTAGTCGGCGTCCATGTGGAGCAACATCAACCCGAACGCGATGTTGCTCGCCTTGACGTACTCGTCGGAAGCTCGCGTGTCGGTGAAGGTTGGAGACGTTTCGCGGTTCACGACGTACCAGACTGACTTCGTCAGAAACACACCGCGCATGTAGCGACACCAGGTTGAGTAGTTGTCCCCATCGAACTTATCGATGGAGACACTGGCCGAGGTGTTGTTAGACGACATGGCGCTTGGGCTCATAACCTGTTGTTACTTGAGCGCGAGGCGAAGAGAAAACGAAGCGGAGAGACCGGAGAGAACGAAGCAGAGAACACTTGCTCACTTGAGGGAGGATTCGAAAGTGATTGATTTATAGGTCTTAACTTCTGCCTACCCTAGACTGCATCCAATCACATGGTGCATCTAATCAACCTGATTTACACGCGTCCAATCATCCTACGCGTCTAATCATCTCTGAGGTAATTACCGATGTAAAAACTATCTCGTAAGAACTACGCGCTAGGTTCGGATTGTACCTGTAACCCTCAATATATGCTACCTCCCGCATACTTGTTCGAACTGTTAAGGTTCGTCTGACTTGCCTTCATGAGACTGCATTACGTCGAAACGGTTTCGACTCACTCGGTTCCGCTCAAACTCTTGCAAGATCGCCCCACAACGTAGATCGGCCTCGTCCACCCAACTTAGATCGGGATATCCCTTCCACTTCACCAGAAACTGCCGGTGTACTCGCCCATAACGGGTTTTTCTACCAGTTCGCACGTCCAATATTGCCTCCACTTCGTATTCCCCTTCTTCAAGATCGCCATCCCAACTGTCTTCCGGCAGCAGAGCTTCATCGAAATCCAAGCGATCTGATTCCTCTATCGTAAGCTGATCCTTCGGGCGTTCAGAGAACGTCTTTACCTTTTTAGCTTCGATATGTGTACAATCGGAAATAACCGATATGGGGTTCCAGCGATCTCCAATTTTACAGCATGATCTCCACATACGTCCGCAACTCGGAATGGCCCATGCCACATGTGCGCTAGCTTCTTCGCATATCCCTCTTTAACTCGGTCCAGGTATAGCCAAACTTGCGCTCCTACTTCTATCTCGTGTGGTTCCAGATCTTCGTTGTGTCGATCCGCTCGCTCCTGGATCGCGGCTTGTAAACGATCGTTCACTGCAGATCGGGCTCGCAGGTATTGTCTTTGTATTTTGTATCTCCACCTCTTTGGATCGCGATCTCGTGTCCCCGTATTCCCCACTGGTAGCGTAGCCTCCAAAGTCGATCGCGGGTCCCACCCATGAATCAGATAAAATGGGGTATCCCCCCGGATCCGATCTTGTGCAGTGTTAATGGCAAAGGTGAGCCGCTCAGCATACTCATCCCAGTCTCGCTGGTCAACTTCAGCCACGTACATCTTGAGCGAATGTGTCAGGGTTTGCACCATTCGTTCGGCTGTTCCATTTGCTTGTGGCCTGTAAGCCATAGTAGCACGCTGTTTTTGTCCTAAGATCCGACTGAAGGCTCGAAAGAAGTCGGACATAAATCCCGGTTCTCGATCGTGCCTGATAGCCTCGCTAGCTCCGAAGCGTCGAAACACACATTCTTCGTAATTCTCCGCTATTGTTTGTGCCGTCCGAGAGGAGCTAGCCTTTGCAATCACATATCCCGAGAAAAGGTCGACCCAATATTGAGGGTTACCGGTACAATCCGAACCTAGCGCGTAGTTCTTACGAGATAGTTTTTACATCGGTAATTACCTCAGAGATGATTAGACGCGTAGGATGATTGGACGCGTGTAAATCAGGTTGATTAGATGCACCATGTGATTGGATGCAGTCTAGGGTAGGCAGAAGTTAAGACCTATAAATCAATCACTTTCGAATCCTCCCTCAAGTGAGCAAGTGTTCTCTGCTTCGTTCTCTCCGGTCTCTCCGCTTCGTTTTCTCTTCGCCTCGCGCTCAAGTTACAACAGGTTATGAGCCCAAGCGCCATGTCGTCCAACAACACCTCGGCCAGTGTCTCCATCGATAAGTTCGATGGGGACAACTACTCAACCTGGTGTCGCTACATGCGCGGCGTGTTTCTGACGAAGTCAGTCTGGTACGTCGTGAACCGCGAAACGTCTCCAACCTTCACCGACACGCGAGCTTCCGACGAGTACGTCAAGGCGAGCAACATCGCGTTCGGGTTGATGTTGCTCCACATGGACGCCGACTACCACCATGTGGTCGACAACTGTGAAGAAGCATGGACAGCGTGGTCGCGGTTGAAGATGCTCTATGGTGGGTCGCAGAAGGCGGGACGCATCTACCTCAAGCGCCAGCTGTTCAGCATCAAGATGGCGGAAGGTGCCAACGTCTTGCACCATTGCAACGAAGTCTTGAACATCGGCGCCAAGCTCAGCAGCATCGGTGCCAAGATGGAAGACGAAGACATTGCGATCTGCTTGCTGCTCAGTCTCCCGAAGAGTTTCGAGAACGTGGTTCTGAACTTGGAGATGAGCAATGCAGAGCTGCGCACGCAAGATGTGGTCAAGGTGCTGACTAACGAGCACATCAAGCGACAAGGCGAGAAGATGACAACGGCAACGACAACGGTGAAGACTGAAGATGCGACAAAGGCATTCAGTACCGAGCGCAAGCCCTACCAATGCACATACTGCGGCAAGGTGGGGCACACGGCAGAGCGTTGCTGGACGAAGCAAAAGGATGAAAGTCGAGGAGCCCAACGCGGCGGCAATGGTCGTGGACGCGGGGCAAACAATGTCCAGTGGCGACATTATGATGAAGGCAACAGCTACGATCGAGTGGCGTTTGCAGTTTCGTTCGAATGCGGAGTTTCGACGAACAAGAATGGACCAGGAATGTGGGCCGTTGACAGCGGGGCAACACATCACATCTGCCACGACAAGTTCAAGTTTGCAAGCTTGGTCGAAGGCAATGATGGCGAGATCCTGGTGGCTGATGGCAACAAGGCGGCCATCAAAGGTGTGGGGACCATCGTGGAAAAGGTGATTCTGCCAAACGGGGAAGAGCGCGAGATTGAGATCAAGAACGCGCTCTATGTGCCCAGCATGAGCAGAAATCTGCTCTCGGTGCCGCAGACTAACAAGCACGGCAACTTCCAAGTGGTGTTTGACGGGGATACGATGTACGTCGCTCGCAAGGATTCCAATCAAGTGGTGGCAGCTGCGGATCTTGTAGACGGACTCTACTGGCTTCGCACGACGCAGCGATCGGCCAATGCGACATCACTCAGCAACGCTGTTGATCTACATGCGCGAATGGGCCATGCTCCAGTCGACGTGCTTCGCAGGATGGTGACAAGCCACATGATCAAGGACGCTCACATCCCTTCCAAGCCGAATGGATCAAGTGTATGTCGCGGATGTTAATAAGGGAAGATGGTCCAAAACCATTCCCCAGTAATCGTGACAAGCGCACCTACAACACCTTCGAGATACTCCACTTCGACATCTGCGGACCCATGGAAGAAAAATCTCTGGGTGGCAGCAAGTATCTGCTGCTGATCGTGGATGAAGCCAGCGGATGCATGAAGGGTTTTTGTCTGCATTCCAAGTCAGAGAGCGAAGAGTGCATCAAGAAGTACATCACGATGATACAGACGCAGTTCAACAAGAAGGTCAAATTTGTGCGACACGATGGAGCCCGCGAGTTTGCGACGAACTCGCTCCAAGATTTCTACGAAGTCGAAGGCATCGAGCAACAAACCACGGTGCCATACGCACATCAAGCCAATGGAACTGCTGAACGCGCGATTCGAACTATCGTCACCATCGGTCGTAGCATGCTCCATCATGCCAAGTTGGACAAGTGCTTCTGGGCTGAAGCGGCAATGACGGCCGTCTATGTGAAGAACCGTTTGCCGTCACCCAAGATTCCACACAAGACACCGTTCGAGATTGTCTACAGTTCTAAGCCAAGTGTCAAGCACATGCGCGTTTTTGGGTGCCAAGCATACATCTTGACCCCGAAGGAGAAACGACTCAAGTGGGATCCCAAGGCCCGGGCTGGATTGTTTTTGGGCTACGAAGAAGTGTCCAAGGCGTATCGAGTTTACGACATCGAAGCGGGGCAGGTGATGATAAGTCGCGATGTCAACTTCGATGAGTCGGCCTTTGGAATGTCGATGCTGATTTCCGATGACGATGTTGATGGCCTGGACTTCGAATCGATCGATCTTGATGATGAAGAACCGCGTCCGAGACACTTCAAACAAACAGGAAAGCGCAAGGCCCAACCCAGTCACGACAATGACGACGCAAGCATGCCCCGAGCAGTGCGCCAACGACCCGGATTGGAAGAGTCAAGTGCGCCGGATGACCTCTCTTCACGTCGAGCCAACGAAGATGAAGAAAGGAAGTCGGAGGAACAACATGACACACCGACTTCCTCCGCGTTTTGGCATGCGAGTGCAAACGCCGTCGAAGCAGCGGTCGATTTTTCGGAGCCGTCAACATTTGAAGAAGCAGTGTCTGGCCCGGACCAAGTACACTGGCGCAAGGCAATTGATGCGGAGCTCGATTCGATGAAGCTTCGCGGTGTCTTTCGTGCGGCCAAGTTACCCAACGGACAAAGCGCCATTGGCACAAAGTGGGTCTTCAAGATCAAGCGCAAGGCGGATGGGTCGATCGAGAAATACAAGGCACGACTTGTGGCCAAGGGTTTTCGACAAAAGTATGGCATCGACTACACGGAGACGTTCTCGCCCGTGGTCAAGTATGTGACGCTGCGAATGGTCATCGCCATTACCAAGCACTTTGGATGGCCCCTCGACCAGCTCGATGTGGTGACTGCGTTCCTGTATGGAGTGATGAAGGAGAAGGTGTTCTGCGCTGTTCCGGAAGGCGTCAAGATGGAAGGTGATTTCGACTGTCTCGAGCTGATCAAGGCGATCTACGGTCTCAAGCAAGCCTCGCGTGTTTGGAACGAGACCTTCGACGAGTTCATACGCTCGATTGGTTTTCAAGCGTCGGGATTCGATCCATGTCTCTACATCATGACTTCGGAAGGCCATTGTGTTTTTGTGCTGGTCTACGTGGACGATGTCTTGGTGACTGGAAGCTCGCTCGAGATGATTGCGCGCACCAAGAACGACCTCAAGACACGCTTCGAGATGACGGACAGCGGCAAGTGTGCCTTTGTTCTTGGGATTGAGTTATTGGACGGTGAAGATGGCAGCGTGACTATGTGTCAGCGCCGTTATGTCGACGATGTCCTCAAGCGCTTTGGAATGGATGAGTGCAAGGCTGTGGCAAGTCCGGTGGACGTCAGCTCTCGACTGGTTCCAAGCAACTCTGCAAGCAAGGTGGATGTCCCATTCCGTGAAGCAGTGGGTGCTTTGATGCATCTGACGACTGCAACGCGACCGGACATCGCCTATGCTGTAAGCTTTGTGTCACGGTTCATGGAGAAACCCCAAGAAGAACACTGGGTTGCAGTCAAGCGCATCTTCCGCTACCTACAAGGCACCAAGATGCATGGAATCTGCTACAAGCCAAGTGCGAAGATCGACTTTCGTGGCTATTCAGATGCAGACTGGGCCGGTGACCTTGCTGATCGCAAATCGACGTCCGGCTACGTCTTCATGCTATTGGGTGCTCCGGTGAGTTGGGGCAGCAAGAAACAGCCAAGTGTGTCACTGTCTACAAGCGAAGCGGAGTACATCGCGCTCAGCCTGGCGATCCAAGAAGGCAAGTGGATCAATCGCTTGCTGTGCGAGATCATGGCGGCTGCAAACGAAGAAGGACCCGAGCTCGTCATCCGTGAAGACAACCAGTCGTGCATCAAGATGACGAAGAATCCGGTCAACCACTGCCGCGCTAAACACATCGACATCAAGTACCATCACATCCGTGATGAAGTCAAGCGCGGCGAAGTGAAGCTTGAATACTGCGAGACGACGTTGATGTTGGCGGACATCATGACGAAGGGACTTCACGGACCGCGTAACAAGGACTTGACGGCGGCGCTTGGCATCCGTGCGTGTTCGGATTGAGGGGGCGTATTGAGGGTTACCGGTACAATCCGAACCTAGCGCGTAGTTCTTACGAGATAGTTTTTACATCGGTAATTACCTCAGAGATGATTAGACGCGTAGGATGATTGGACGCGTGTAAATCAGGTTGATTAGATGCACCATGTGATTGGATGCAGTCTAGGGTAGGCAGAAGTTAAGACCTATAAATCAATCACTTTCGAATCCTCCCTCAAGTGAGCAAGTGTTCTCTGCTTCGTTCTCTCCGGTCTCTCCGCTTCGTTTTCTCTTCGCCTCGCGCTCAAGTTACAACAGTGGTGGCATCATGAGCAGAGGACATCGTGCTTGGGCTCATAACCTGTTGATTGGGTGAAAAGCTTGACGACCGAAACTGGGAGTGATGCTGGGAGTCCACTCGGAAGACCGGAGAAGACACTTGGGGGGTAGATGGAAGATTGGAAAGTGATTGATTATCGGGGCTTACTACTTACTACATGATTTATATGTGGTGCACATATAAATCATGTGAAGCGTCTCATCATCCTACGCGTCTAATCAACTATGGTAATTACCGTAAGAACTACGTCGTAAATACTAAGCTGAACAGGCGGTTCGGATTGGACCGGTCACGGTTACCAATACTGGTAGAAACCGATGACCGTCAACAGAGATGAATACGGATTTCTTCTGGTAGACATAGCGCGCCATCCGCTAGATCGAGCCGCACTCCAGCAGGCACCATAAAATCCATACCCAGAATCGCTTCTTGCCCTGCCAGATCGCCTACCCATACATTGAAATAGTATACCAGCGATCCCGCGAGGGTCACCTTGATCTTGGTACGTCCTACCGTCATATACGGAGTTTCTCCAATCATATACATTCTTGTCGTTGACTTTCGTCAATATTGCAACCGACCTCACGAGCAAAGGTAGTGTTAATGATCGACACTTCAGCACCAGAATCAAATAACAGAGTAGCTTTTACGTTGTTGATCTTGCCAACGGCTTTCGCTTGTTTGAACCACTTCCCGGGTGAATGATGTTTCCAGTATCCGCGAGATTCACCATAAGCGAGCTCGATCTCCATAGCTGGTTCAGATCGTGAGTACTCATCGATCCGCTTCAGATGGGACACGGAAGCGACACGTTTTAACTTCGAACGAGATATATTTGTTTCCACGTCAATATCCTGCTTACTCTCGCGATCTGTCTTCTTTTTTTTCCACGTATGCAATAATGCAGAGCCCAGAACGCTCGGCTCGTACCAGATTCAAACCTGGCGAGCGTCCTAGTTTAACATCTTCTCGGCCTTCTCTGGTAGCATCCCCGCATGCTTATTCGGGACGTACCACTGACGGATCATGTTGTAGAACTCCTGCATGGGACACTTCCCCGGGTCGTGCATCTCACCGCAAGCACGACACACGAAAAAACAATTGTCAGAGGGGTGTCCTTTACGCCCACACTTCTGGCAAGTGAGCCGCTTCCAGCAACCGAGATCTCCATGCTTGGTCGATCCGCAATGAGTACACGGCTTCAATGGCATATTGCGATCTTGATAGTCTTGACGAGTGTTCGGGTCGACCGATCTCGCGTTTGCTGCAACTTCATTGGGGGATGAACGGCGATCCGCGGTAGCAGCCACATGGATCGATCTCAATCGATCTTCCAAATCCGATCCGCAGGTGTCCGATCCTGACTCGCTGCAGACGTCCTCGGTACGGACCATTCTTACCGCTCGTGCAGGCTTAGACAGCGCTGGACCCTGAGCTCCCTTCTGCCTGAATTTGGACGATCCCATCACCACTTTCCCTTGACGCGATCTCCCTTGTTGATATCCGTGCAGTGTCTTTTGCATGGCCTCCGCGTCTTCTACATTCAGCAGTAGCAATTGATTGGACAGATCGGGGTCGTCCAAGGTGTCAATGAAATGATTGACATGTTCCTTGCGTGCAGCTGGCAATCCAGTCATCACCGGTATCTTCGCCTGCATTCCCATCACATTAAGCCGATACAGGTACTGTAAAGGATCTTCCTCCGATCGTTTCTTTGCATGGTAGTACTGCCTGCTCGCGGACATCCCGTGTCCTGCATACTCCACAAGAAAACTGTTCACCAATTCTTTCCAATTGAATCTCGTCGATCTACTCAGCTGTCGATACCAGTAGCGGGCTGGGCCCACCATGAGATCACCGAAGACCAGACATCTCTCCTCGTCCGGTGCTTGGTCCCGGATAAACGCTGATTTCACTTTGCCGATCCAGGTCCGTGCTTTGTCTTCTTCCCGATCCTTCCCTGAGAATTTTTTCAGCTCAGAAATCGCTGAGATTCTGATCCTCTGCGTGATGCTTCCCCCTCCGGTAGTCGCACCGGTCGCGGCTACTTGAGGGCGCCGTGGTTCGGGCATCCATAGATCATCCGGGTCGTATTCCGCCGCCTCATGGATATGTTGGTAAATGTCCGACCCCACCGACTCCATCTCCACATCCGGCATGTCAAGGCTTTCGTGTGAAGGTTGGAGCAAAGTACGTCGATCTGGGTAGCGGTTTGGCTGTCGATTCATTCGCTGAGCTGTACGTTGATCCACCTCGTACTTCTTCATGGCTCAATTGAAGTACCGACTTAGATCGCCCTCTTCTTGATCCTTATTGAGGGTTACCGGTACAATCCGAACCTAGCGCGTAGTTCTTACGAGATAGTTTTTACATCGGTAATTACCTCAGAGATGATTAGACGCGTAGGATGATTGGACGCGTGTAAATCAGGTTGATTAGATGCACCATGTGATTGGATGCAGTCTAGGGTAGGCAGAAGTTAAGACCTATAAATCAATCACTTTCGAATCCTCCCTCAAGTGAGCAAGTGTTCTCTGCTTCGTTCTCTCCGGTCTCTCCGCTTCGTTTTCTCTTCGCCTCGCGCTCAAATAACAACAGGTTATGAGCCCAAGCGCCATGTCGTCCAACAACACCTCGGCCAGTGTCTCCATCGATAAGTTCGATGGGGACAACTACTCAACCTGGTGTCGCTACATGCGCGGCGTGTTTCTGACGAAGTCAGTCTGGTACGTCGTGAACCGCGAAACGTCTCCAACCTTCACCGACACGCGAGCTTCCGACGAGTACGTCAAGGCGAGCAACATCGCGTTCGGGTTGATGTTGCTCCACATGGACGCCGACTACCACCATGTGGTCGACAACTGTGAAGAAGCATGGACAGCGTGGTCGCGGTTGAAGATGCTCTATGGTGGGTCGCAGAAGGCGGGACGCATCTACCTCAAGCGCCAGCTGTTCAGCATCAAGATGGCGGAAGGTGCCAACGTCTTGCACCATTGCAACGAAGTCTTGAACATCGGCGCCAAGCTCAGCAGCATCGGTGCCAAGATGGAAGACGAAGACATTGCGATCTGCTTGCTGCTCAGTCTCCCGAAGAGTTTCGAGAACGTGGTTCTGAACTTGGAGATGAGCAATGCAGAGCTGCACACGCAAGATGTGGTCAAGGTGCTGACTAACGAGCACATCAAGCGACAAGGCGAGAAGATGACAACGGCAACGACAACGGTGAAGACTGAAGATGCGACAAAGGCATTCAGTACCGAGCGCAAGCCCTACCAATGCACATACTGCGGCAAGGTGGGTCACACGGCAGAGCGTTGCTGGACGAAGCAAAAGGATGAAAGTCGAGGAGCCCAACGCGGCGGCAATGGTCGTGGACGCGGGGCAAACAATGTCCAGTGGCGACATTATGATGAAGGCAACAGCTACGATCGAGTGGCGTTTGCAGTTTCGTTCGAATGCGGAGTTTCGACGAACAAGAATGGACCAGGAATGTGGGCCGTTGACAGCGGGGCAACACATCACATCTGCCACGACAAGTTCAAGTTTGCAAGTTTGGTCGAAGGCAATGATGGCGAGATCCTGGTGGCTGATGGCAACAAGGCGGCCATCAAAGGTGTGGGGACCATCGTGGAAAAGGTGATTCTGCCAAACGGGGAAGAGCGCGAGATCGAGATCAAGAACGCGCTCTATGTGCCCAGCATGAGCAAAAATCTGCTCTCGGTGCCGCAGATTAACAAGCACGGCAGCTTCCAAGTGGTGTTTGACGGGGATACGATGTACGTCGCTCGCAAGGATTCCAATCAAGTGGTGGCAGCTGCGGATCTTGTAGACGGACTCTACTGGCTTCGCACGACGCAGCGATCGGCCAATGCGACATCACTCAGCAACGCTGTTGATCTACATGCGCGAATGGGCCATGCTCCAGTCGACGTGCTTCGCAGGATGGTGACAAGCCACATGATCAAGGACGCTCACATCCCTTCCAAGCCGAATGGATCAAGTGTGTGTCGAGGATGCCAAGAAGGGAAGATGGTCCAAAAACCATTCCCGAGCAACCGTGACAAGCGCACCTACAACACCTTCGAGATGCTCCACTTCGACATCTGCGGACCCATGGAAGAAAAATCTCTGGGTGGCAGCAAGTATCTGCTGCTGATCGTGGATGAAGCCAGCGGATGCATGAAGGGTTTTTGTCTGCATTCCAAGTCAGAGAGCGAAGAGTGCATCAAGAAGTACATCACGATGATACAGACACAGTTCAACAAGAAGGTCAAATTTGTGCGACACGATGGAGCCCGCGAGTTTGCGACGAACTCGCTCCAAGATTTCTACGAAGTCGAAGGCATCGAGCAACAAACCACGGTGCCATACGCACATCAAGCCAATGGAACTGCTGAACGCGCGATTCGAACTATCGTCACCATCGGTCGTAGCATGCTCCATCATGCCAAGTTGGACAAGTGCTTCTGGGCTGAAGCGGCAATGACTTGGCCGTCTATGTGAAGAACCGTTTGCCGTCACCCAAGATTCCACACAAGACACCGTTCGAGATTGTCTACAGTTCTAAGCCAAGTGTCAAGCACATGCGCGTTTTTGGGTGCCAAGCATACATCTTGACCCCGAAGGAGAAACGACTCAAGTGGGATCCCAAGGCCCGGGCTGGATTGTTTTTGGGCTACGAAGAAGTGTCCAAGGCGTATCGAGTTTACGACATCGAAGCGGGGCAGGTGATGATAAGTCGCGATGTCAACTTCGATGAGTCGGCCTTTGGAATGTCGATGCTGATTTCCGATGACGATGTTGATGGCCTGGACTTCGAATCGATCGATCTTGATGATGAAGAACCGCGTCCGAGACACTTCAAACAAACAGGAAAGCGCAAGGCCCAACCCAGTCACGACAATGACGACGCAAGCATGCCCCGAGCAGTGCGCCAACGACCCGGATTGGAAGAGTCAAGTGCGCCGGATGACCTCTCTTCACGTCGAGCCAACGAAGATGAAGAAAGGAAGTCGGAGGAACAACATGACACACCGACTTCCTCCGCGTTTTGGCATGCGAGTGCAAATGCCGTCGAAGCAGCGGTCGATTTTTCGGAGCCGTCGACATTTGAAGAAGCAGTGTCTGGCCCGGACCAAGTACACTGGCGCAAGGCAATTGATGTGGAGCTCGATTCGATGAAGCTTCGCGGTGTCTTTCGTGCGGCCAAGTTACCCAACGGACAAAGCGCCATTGGCACAAAGTGGGTCTTCAAGATCAAGCGCAAGGCGGATGGGTCGATCGAGAAATACAAGGCACGACTTGTGGCCAAGGGTTTTCGACAAAAGTATGGCATCGACTACACGGAGACGTTCTCGCCCGTGGTCAAGTATGTGACGCTGCGAATGGTCATCGCCATTACCAAGCACTTTGGATGGCCCCTCGACCAGCTCGATGTGGTGACTGCGTTCCTGTATGGAGTGATGAAGGAGAAGGTGTTCTGCGCTGTTCCGGAAGGCGTCAAGATGGAAGGTGATTTCGACTGTCTCGAGCTGATCAAGGCGATCTACGGTCTCAAGCAAGCCTCGCGTGTTTGGAACGAGACCTTCGACGAGTTCATACGCTCGATTGGTTTTCAAGCGTCGGGATTCGATCCATGTCTCTACATCATGACTTCGGAAGGCCATTGTGTTTTTGTGCTGGTCTATGTGGATGACGTGTTGGTGACAGGAAGCTCACCCAAGTTGATTGCACACACCAAGGAAGACCTGAAGACACGCTTCGAGATGACTGATAGCGGCAAGTGTGCATTTGTTCTTGGGATCGAGTTATTGGACGGTGAAGATGGCAGCGTGACTATGTGTCAGCGCCGTTATGTCGACGATGTCCTCAAGCGCTTTGGAATGGATGAGTGCAAGGCTGTGGCAAGTCCGGTGGACGTCAGCTCTCGACTGGTTCCAAGCAACTCTGCAAGCAAGGTGGATGTCCCATTCCGTGAAGCAGTGGGTGCTTTGATGCATCTGACGACTGCAACGCGACCGGACATCGCCTATGCTGTAAGCTTTGTGTCACGGTTCATGGAGAAACCCCAAGAAGAACACTGGGTTGCAGTCAAGCGCATCTTCCGCTACCTACAAGGCACCAAGATGCATGGAATCTGCTACAAGCCAAGTGCGAAGATCGACTTTCGTGGCTATTCAGATGCAGACTGGGCCGGTGACCTTGCTGATCGCAAATCGACGTCCGGCTACGTCTTCATGCTATTGGGTGCTCCGGTGAGTTGGGGCAGCAAGAAACAGCCAAGTGTGTCACTGTCTACAAGCGAAGCGGAGTACATCGCGCTCAGCCTGGCGATCCAAGAAGGCAAGTGGATCAATCGCTTGCTGTGCGAGATCATGGCGGCTGCAAACGAAGAAGGACCCGAGCTCGTCATCCGTGAAGACAACCAGTCGTGCATCAAGATGACGAAGAATCCGGTCAACCACGGCCGCGCTAAACACATCGACATCAAGTACCATCACATCCGTGATGAAGTCAAGCGCGGCGAAGTGAAGCTTGAATACTGCGAGACGACGTTGATGTTGGCGGACATCATGACGAAGGGACTTCACGGACCGCGTCACAAGGACTTGACGGCGGCGCTTGGCATCCGTGCGTGTTCGGATTGAGGGGGCGTATTGAGGGTTACCGGTACAATCCGAACCTAGCGCGTAGTTCTTACGAGATAGTTTTTACATCGGTAATTACCTCAGAGATGATTAGACGCGTAGGATGATTGGACGCGTGTAAATCAGGTTGATTAGATGCACCATGTGATTGGATGCAGTCTAGGGTAGGCAGAAGTTAAGACCTATAAATCAATCACTTTCGAATCCTCCCTCAAGTGAGCAAGTGTTCTCTGCTTCGTTCTCTCCGGTCTCTCCGCTTCGTTTTCTCTTCGCCTCGCGCTCAAGTAACAACAGGTTATGAGCCCAAGCGCCATGTCGTCCAACAACACCTCGGCCAGTGTCTCCATCGATAAGTTCGATGGGGACAACTACTCAACCTGGTGTCGCTACATGCGCGGCGTGTTTCTGACGAAGTCAGTCTGGTACGTCGTGAACCGCGAAACGTCTCCAACCTTCACCGACACGCGAGCTTCCGACGAGTACGTCAAGGCGAGCAACATCGCGTTCGGGTTGATGTTGCTCCACATGGACGCCGACTACCACCATGTGGTCGACAACTGTGAAGAAGCATGGACAGCGTGGTCGCGGTTGAAGATGCTCTATGGTGGGTCGCAGAAGGCGGGACGCATCTACCTCAAGCGCCAGCTGTTCAGCATCAAGATGGCGGAAGGTGCCAACGTCTTGCACCATTGCAACGAAGTCTTGAACATCGGCGCCAAGCTCAGCAGCATCGGTGCCAAGATGGAAGACGAAGACATTGCGATCTGCTTGCTGCTCAGTCTCCCGAAGAGTTTCGAGAACGTGGTTCTGAACTTGGAGATGAGCAATGCAGAGCTGCGCACCCAAGATGTGGTCAAGGTGCTGACTAACGAGCACATCAAGCGACAAGGCGAGAAGATGACAACGGCAACGACAACGGTGAAGACTGAAGATGCGACAAAGGCATTCAGTACCGAGCGCAAGCCCTACCAATGTACATACTGCGGCAAGGTGGGTCACACGGCAGAGCGTTGCTGGACGAAGCAAAAGGATGAAAGTCGAGGAGCCCAACGCGGCGGCAATGGTCGTGGACGCGGGGCAAACAATGTCCAGTGGCGACATTATGATGAAGGCAACAGCTACGATCGAGTGGCGTTTGCAGTTTCGTTCGAATGCGGAGTTTCGACGAACAAGAATGGACCAGGAATGTGGGCCGTTGACAGCGGGGCAACACATCACATCTGCCACGACAAGTTCAAGTTTGCAAGTTTGGTCGAAGGCAATGATGGCGAGATCCTGGTGGCTGATGGCAACAAGGCGGCCATCAAAGGTGTGGGGACCATCGTGGAAAAGGTGATTCTGCCAAACGGGGAAGAGCGCGAGATCGAGATCAAGAACGCGCTCTATGTGCCCAGCATGAGCAAAAATCTGCTCTCGGTGCCGCAGATTAACAAGCACGGCAGCTTCCAAATGGTGTTTGACGGGGGATACGATGTACGTCGCTCGCAAGGATTCCAATCAAGTGGTGGCAGCTGCGGATCTTGTAGACGGACTCTACTGGCTTCGCACGACGCAGCGATCGGCCAATGCGACATCACTCAGCAACGCTGTTGATCTACATGCGCGAATGGGCCATGCTCCAGTCGACGTGCTTCGCAGGATGGTGACAAGCCACATGATCAAGGACGCTCACATCCCTTCCAAGCCGAATGGATCAAGTGTGTGTCGAGGATGCCAAGAAGGGAAGATGGTCCAAAAACCATTCCCGAGCAACCGTGACAAGCGCACCTACAACACCTTCGAGATACTCCACTTCGACATCTGCGGACCCATGGAAGAAAAATCTCTGGGTGGCAGCAAGTATCTGCTGCTGATCGTGGATGAAGCCAGCGGATGCATGAAGGGTTTTTGTCTGCATTCCAAGTCAGAGAGCGAAGAGTGCATCAAGAAGTACATCACGATGATACAGACACAGTTCAACAAGAAGGTCAAATTTGTGCGACACGATGGAGCCCGCGAGTTTGCGACGAACTCGCTCCAAGATTTCTACGAAGTCGAAGGCATCGAGCAACAAACCACGGTGCCATACGCACATCAAGCCAATGGAACTGCTGAACGCGCGATTCGAACTATCGTCACCATCGGTCGTAGCATGCTCCATCATGCCAAGTTGGACAAGTGCTTCTGGGCTGAAGCGGCAATGACTTGGCCGTCTATGTGAAGAACCGTTTGCCGTCACCCAAGATTCCACACAAGACACCGTTCGAGATTGTCTTCAATTCTAAGCCAAGTGTCAAGCACATGCGCGTTTTTGGGTGCCAAGCATACATCTTGACCCCGAAGGAGAAACGACTCAAGTGGGATCCCAAGGCCCGGGCTGGATTGTTTTTGGGCTACGAAGAAGTGTCCAAGGCGTATCGAGTTTACGACATCGAAGCGGGGCAGGTGATGATAAGTCGCGATGTCAACTTCGATGAGTCGGCCTTTGGAATGTCGATGCTGATTTCCGATGACGATGTTGATGGCCTGGACTTCGAATCGATCGATCTTGATGATGAAGAACCGCGTCCGAGACACTTCAAACAAACAGGAAAGCGCAAGGCCCAACCCAGTCACGACAATGACGACGCAAGCATGCCCCAAGCAGTGCGCCAACGACCCGGATTGGAAGAGTCAAGTGCGCCGGATGACCTCTCTTCACGTCGAGCCAACGAAGATGAAGAAAGGAAGTCGGAGGAACAACATGACACACCGACTTCCTCCGCGTTTTGGCATGCGAGTGCAAACGCCGTCGAAGCAGCGGTCGATTTTTCGGAGCCGTCAACATTTGAAGAAGCAGTGTCTGGCCCGGACCAAGTACACTGGCGCAAGGCAATTGATGCGGAGCTCGATTCGATGAAGCTTCGCGGTGTCTTTCGTGCGGCCAAGTTACCCAACGGACAAAGCGCCATTGGCACAAAGTGGGTCTTCAAGATCAAGCGCAAGGCGGATGGGTCGATCGAGAAATACAAGGCACGACTTGTGGCCAAGGGTTTTCGACAAAAGTATGGCATCGACTACACGGAGACGTTCTCGCCCGTGGTCAAGTATGTGACGCTGCGAATGGTCATCGCCATTACCAAGCACTTTGGATGGCCCCTCGACCAGCTCGATGTGGTGACTGCGTTCCTGTATGGAGTGATGAAGGAGAAGGTGTTCTGCGCTGTTCCGGAAGGCGTCAAGATGGAAGGTGATTTCGACTGTCTCGAGCTGATCAAGGCGATCTACGGTCTCAAGCAAGCCTCGCGTGTTTGGAACGAGACCTTCGACGAGTTCATACGCTCGATTGGTTTTCAAGCGTCGGGATTCGATCCATGTCTCTACATCATGACTTCGGAAGGCCATTGTGTTTTTGTGCTGGTCTATGTGGATGACGTGTTGGTGACAGGAAGCTCACCCAAGTTGATTGCACACACCAAGGAAGACCTGAAGACACGCTTCGAGATGACTGATAGCGGCAAGTGTGCATTTGTTCTTGGGATCGAGTTATTGGACGGTGAAGATGGCAGCGTGACTATGTGTCAGCGCCGTTATGTCGACGATGTCCTCAAGCGCTTTGGAATGGATGAGTGCAAGGCTGTGGCAAGTCCGGTGGACGTCAGCTCTCGACTGGTTCCAAGCAACTCTGCAAGCAAGGTGGATGTCCCATTCCGTGAAGCAGTGGGTGCTTTGATGCATCTGACGACTGCAACGCGACCGGACATCGCCTATGCTGTAAGCTTTGTGTCACGGTTCATGGAGAAACCCCAAGAAGAACACTGGGTTGCAGTCAAGCGCATCTTCCGCTACCTACAAGGCACCAAGATGCATGGAATCTGCTACAAGCCAAGTGCGAAGATCGACTTTCGTGGCTATTCAGATGCAGACTGGGCCGGTGACCTTGCTGATCGCAAATCGACGTCCGGCTACGTCTTCATGCTATTGGGTGCTCCGGTGAGTTGGGGCAGCAAGAAACAGCCAAGTGTGTCACTGTCTACAAGCGAAGCGGAGTACATCGCGCTCAGCCTGGCGATCCAAGAAGGCAAGTGGATCAATCGCTTGCTGTGCGAGATCATGGCGGCTGCAAACGAAGAAGGACCCGAGCTCGTCATCCGTGAAGACAACCAGTCGTGCATCAAGATGACGAAGAATCCGGTCAACCACTGCCGCGCTAAACACATCGACATCAAGTACCATCACATCCGTGATGAAGTCAAGCGCGGCGAAGTGAAGCTTGAATACTGCGAGACGACGTTGATGTTGGCGGACATCATGACGAAGGGACTTCACGGACCGCGTCACAAGGACTTGACGGCGGCGCTTGGCATCCGTGCGTGTTCGGATTGAGGGGGCGTATTGAGGGTTACCGGTACAATCCGAACCTAGCGCGTAGTTCTTACGAGATAGTTTTTACATCGGTAATTACCTCAGAGATGATTAGACGCGTAGGATGATTGGACGCGTGTAAATCAGGTTGATTAGATGCACCATGTGATTGGATGCAGTCTAGGGTAGGCAGAAGTTAAGACCTATAAATCAATCACTTTCGAATCCTCCCTCAAGTGAGCAAGTGTTCTCTGCTTCGTTCTCTCCGGTCTCTCCGCTTCGTTTTCTCTTCGCCTCGCGCTCAAGTTACAACAATCCTCCAGCCCAGTGCGGGTACTGGCCGATCTCTGCGGCATGTTGCTCTTGGCTTGTCCCTTATAGGCGTCGATCTTGGCTTGTCCGATCTTGTCCTTTAAGAACCTTCCACCCGATGGTCCTAGAGACATCTGACGAATGCTGATGGATCCATCTGACTCGCTCTCGGAGTCATCCGAGGCGTAGCGGGCGATCCCGCGGGGTGTTTACGGAGCGAGCCCGAGGGCGTCCCGATCTTGTCTTCAGGAGTATTCGCTTTGCCCACCAGCATTATCATGATCTCTACAAACTCATTCGCCGCGTCCTTCAACTGTTCCAAGCTGCAACTCAGCAGTTCATCTCCATCAAAAGCGTCAGGGCAGATACCCATGTCGTCCAACATCTGCAAAATCACATTGATCTCGTCGACTTTGTTGGTCCCGTGAAGTGGGACCGAGATCGGCTTATCCAGAGGACCAATCACCTTGGGCCTTAACATCTTGAACACTGGGTCTGTCTTGAGCAGCGTCTTCAACTGGCCATAATAGTACTGCCATTTTGCACGCTCCCGCGCTTCACCCGTCGTCTCCTTCTCCCTGGACGCGATCTTTATTGGGTTAAATTCCGTCTTTAGCATCGCGATCTTATCTGGTGTTTCATCGTATTCCTCTTTGGCTCCGATCTTCGATTGCACGGTTCGGCCGATCTGGCGATCTTTGACATCTGATCCAATCGATCTCGTCGCGGATCGTTCTGATGTGGTCGATCTCGCGATTGTGCTCTTCGGCTTGAGGTCGGGCGATCTATCGACTAAGATATAGGGTTTGGCTTTCGCCGATTTGGTTTTCACCGTTGGATTTTCATCCAGCAGATCGCTCTTTGCAGAGCGATCTGCGGTGGCCCCCGAAGGGACCCTAGGAGGGAATTGAGGTTTATCTTCCAGATCGATCTCTCGATCTTCCTCTTTCATTTTCATTTCATCAGAGCCCCTCCCAAAACTCTGATGATCTGAGGATCTTGTGCTTCTGCGTGTCTGCGTCGATCCCTTTGTCGCTGACACTTCAATCCCAGGTTCTTGCTTAATCTTGACATCTTCGCCAGTGGACTCACGGGGAAATCCAGAGGCCTCAGAAGATCCGGGCACGCGCACCATTGTGGTGAAGTCGATCTCACAAAATTGCTTGTATGAGTGTCGATCTTCCACTTGCCCAGACTTGCCGACTCACGGAGGGGGTACTCCGATCCGTGCCTTGTTGTATGACCTTGTGCTCACCTTGTGTACCCGTCGGTTGGGCTGGCTTGAGCTCTTCGTAACGGCCTTGGGAGATGTCGATCTCGCTGAGAGGTTGGGTTGAGGGTTCGCTTCCGGTGCGGAAATCTTCACACCACGAACGGGGGTTCTGCGATCCCGATCTTGGATCGCACCGATCTTGATTTGTCTTTGAGATCGGGGTTTTTGCTGTGCGGAAATCTTCACTCAGCAAATAAAAGTCCTGCGTCGATCTTGCCTTGGGATCGGTCCGATCTGGTCTTGGGATCGGCCGATCTTGCCGGAAGTGCGCAATTTGGGTAGATCGGTGTCTTGTTTCGCCAAAATGAAACGTGCCGATCTGTCCAGGGGATCGCTTCAATCCTGCTCGGTCTTGTCTTGAACGCCTTGTCCAGATCTTCTGACCACTTGAGCCGTCTTGCGATCCTGTGTCCAAAATCCTTTTCCTTTTCCGTTGTGTGCTGCTACCCTAGCAGTTGAGTTGAGTGTGAGTACTTGATCGATCCGGGCCAGATATCCCGGGATCGCTCTTCTCGATCTTGGCCAACAATCCAAGATCGGTCTTCTGTGTCCCTGTAACACGCGTGCCTTAACCCGCCGGGGAAGCCAAATCAATCTTGCCTGGAGAAGAGGGGAGGATTACGTGCGTCGTGAGCAGAAGAAGTAGAGTTCAAGTCTGTTTATTAACCAACCAAATTACTATCCAACCTACCCTTAAGCCTATTCTTAACTATAGGTCACTCTTCAAACCGATATCGCCTTGAATCTGGATCGCCCCCTTGCCACGTGTCAAAATTTCGTGCCCTGTACTCCAATGATAGCGCCAATATTCCCGATACCGTATCTGAACGCCAAAAGAGGACCAAATCCCAAATGGGGTACCAAATACCCATTTTTGGTACCCAAAAGCCCAAAATAGTGCCCAAATGCCGAAGGCGTCTAAATCCATTTTGCGACGTCAATTCGGACAGCTTCCACTGGCTCTTTCGGCATGAAACTTCTTGACATCACTTAGTGACCTCTACCAAGTATATTCCACATGATCCAGTGTCTTCATCAACCATATATTCATGATCAGTGTGGAACATGACCGATCTGTCATCCAATATCGAGATGTTGGAGGTCGATCCGGTCTAAATCGGCAATTAACACTTTTTCATCTCCTCATACGTGCTTCAATATCATCCTCCAGTGTTATCCCATCGACAACTTCATTCATACGTCTCGACATCGGGTTCCTTGACTTCCCTGAGTATGCAAAACTTCCAGATCGGTGTAAAATTAACCAAAATAAGTACTCCCAATTTAGGATC